CCCCATCTTGGGGCCCTCTCTTTATCCTATAAAGCAACCCCCTCCTGACCTCAAATCTGGGCAGACTTGCGTAACATCCTGGGTCCACCATTTTCTCATCATTTTTCGCCAACTCAGTCTGTTTGATGGTCCAGAACTCCTCCTCTACCTCTTGCACATTCCGGAATGAACTACTACAGGATAGCCATTCCACGTTGAAGCCTTCCTTCACTGGGTCATCCTCTTCGCTCCCTAATAGGCCGGCCTCGCCTAGCCTGTCTCCTCTCATGATGTTTAATACCTTGTAGATTTCTCTCCAGTCCCAGCCTAGAATCATCAGGTATGGTAAATCACGGGCCACTCCAACAGTCATTTCCCTAGTGGTCTCCAATACAGTAACCTGATACACCTTCCAGGGGTAGTAAGTGCTTTGTCTGTGCATGCACGTCATCTGGATCGGAGTGGCCTTCTGCACATATTCACCAGGTGCTAGGGTCTCATGTATAAATGTGTGGGCGCACCCGGTATCTATGATGGCTTCAAACCTCTCACCTCCGACCCATGCCTCCACTACTGGCCGTGGCAAGGGGCCACTTTTAATCTCCTTCCCTATGCTACAGTCCATGGACTCCATGCCTCCAGATTCTCCGGGGCCCGGAGCGGTACCCAAGTCTTCGAATGGGGAATGTACCACCTTAGGTACTGTCTGCATCAAGTTGGTGCAGTCTTGGGACATGTGCCCTGCCTTCCCGCATCGGAAACAGATCACTGAGTTGCTGTTGGGTTTCTGATGGTCTCATATCTCTCTACTCCCTGGTCTCGTGAACTCACAGGGTCTTGAGTACTCGGCAGCCTTCACGTTCCAATCTGCAGGCCTTTCCCCTAGGGCGCTGCTGAAGTTCTCAGCCAACCTCAGTGCCTCAGCTGAAGATACCAGCTGATGGTATCGGACCCAATTCTCGGTTTCCTCATCTAGGTCATTCAGAAACTGTTCTAGTAAGATCCGGTCGCAAACATCATTCTTTGAACTTTCCACCAGCTTCAACCATTTGGTTACCAGGTCAGCTAGATGTTGCAGCGGAGCCCATGGCTCCTTTTCCTCTTTCTGGCCCTGAACACCTGCCGGTAGGTCTCTGAATTAATATCCAGGCAATAAAGGATTTCTCTCTTCACCTTATCATTATCCATGGCTTCGTCTCATGCCATAGCCCCACAGGCTGCTTGAGCTTTTCCTATTAGTAACACTCCCAGCTGTCCAGCCTAGTGGGATTTCTCAAGTCCAGCTGCCAACACTGCTCACTCAAAACTTTCCAAGAATACCTCTGGGTCACCATATACTAACATCTTGGATACTCACAGTTCCATGGCATTCCTCCGGTGCCATGCTTGTTGTTGGATCCAATTTTCCTCCAGGGCAAGCTGACAAGCCAACTGCTGTTATTGTTGCTGGAGGACTTGTCCCATCAAATGAAGTGTCTGTTGGATAGGGTCTGCTCTGTCTGCTGCCACTGCCATCGAGACCTCCATATAGTCAGCTTCCCCTCAGCCATCATCAGTCTTCCCGGCCAATGCACCACTTAGTCATGATATGACTTGTATGGACGTGGGCCTTTACATCCTGTTGACATTCACTGGTTTCCCTCTTTCAAGGCCGGTGCTGGCCAACGCAAATGAGTCGGTCTTCCTCTCTATTATCTCACCTGCCACGATTTTGAGGACCTAATTAATGGATGGAGGGGTGATGACTCCCTGACCCAGTGTTGGCTGTCACCTGCCCAGTGCCGGACCCACTATACTCAATGAAACAAAACTTCTTGGCATAAGAAGCAAAATTACAGGCAACTTGCCATCCGTCCAGTGGTGCCTCTCCCAGCTGCAGGGGACTGAGATGCAGGCTCTCCCTTCCCAGTTCCTTTATCCATAAATGCTTGATCGCTGAAGCTGCGATCAAATGTTTCCTTCTCCTTTTTATTTTTCTTCAGTAATTGATGCTGCACTGGCTTAATTGACTGCACACAGCAGCCAATTAATGCAGGAGTGCCGGCTTCCCCTGAGGATGTGAGTTCCTCCAAACTCTCAAAACCATGCAGGTCTACAGCCCACCTGATTGGCTCCGGGGGGTCTACATGAGCATTGGATCTGGGAGCAGTTTACTCGCGAGTAAATTATTCGCAAGTAAATGTTTTTGGGCAAGCGTCTTGTAGGGAAGCAGGAGCAATTTGCTGCTAATGGCAGCAAATTGCTCCCGCTTCCTGGGGCCCTGCAATGGGCCCCTGCTGCCACCAGAGGGAGCTCTAGGCTCCCCCTGGGTGCTAGCCTAGGGACTGGCACAAAGCACTGGGCCAGGCGACAATTGCCTCCTGGATGGGGCTGTGACACTGCGCCCTATCCTGCAGGGGCTGCCTGCTGCTGGGAAGGGACAATGTCTCCCTGCCCCAGCAGCAGGGAGCTCTTGGCCCCAGCATCCAAGTCAGGGCCAGGGGACTTAGAAAGAGCTGCAGGGAAGGGGCATGTCCCATCCCCCAGCCCTGATCTGCCAGTGGGGCAGCTAGCAGCTAGCTCACTGCTAGCTGCCCCACCAGTAAATCAGGGCAGAGAGCTGGGACCTGCCACACCACTGCAGCTCTTTCCAAGCCATGTGCCTCAATCATCTGATTCAGGTCTGGGGCTGGGACCTGCCCCTGACTGGGACAGTTCCCAGCCCTTGCTCCATGATGGTGGGGCAGGGGCTGGACAGCCTGTTCCCCGCCCAGCTCTGCAATCACAGAACTGAGCTCAGCTGTGTGATTGTGTGGGCTACAAAGGACCAACTCACAGGATCATAATACATTCTAATTTATTGTACAGGATGTAAAGTTACCAATAAAATGTTAAATGCAAACTTTGAGTTACATGGGGTACTGGTCACCTTAGCATGCGTGCGCGCACACACACACACACACACACACACACATGCACTCACTCATTCAAAGCCATGTAATTTAAACCCATGTAGTATAGTGTATAGTAGCTGCTGTAATGATTGTGAGAGTGTTGGTGTCAGTATATCTACCTATCCGAGGCCCTGGACTCTGCTGTCAATGGTCAGCTTCCTTCAAGGCGATGTCTTCTCCAGAAGGGGGTTGTCTGCTTGTCCTTCTGTCTCAGTAGATCAGGTGCTGGATGAGAGGGCACCACTGAGGGTCACACTTCACTGCCTTTTATCCCTTTCTGACAGACTTGCGTGATCCCCCAGCATCATCTTGGCTGCCCAATCTGGAGGTCACTGTCCCACGTGGGTCTTGAGTAGTGCATGACAGCTGTTAGTCACAGGGGTCTCTGTCCACTGTTACCTGAAGTTTCAGGAGTCCTCCCTTGACTTATTAACTTAATAGCTGCATTGTTATGGGTACAGGAATAGTTAGTAGGGTGGGTGCGCAGTCCCAGGAATCAGTTCCTTGACTTGATTAGCCTAAAATGGCTTGTAGAGTAGAGTTGTGTAATGCTAAGTTTCTCTTGATAGGTGATTGTCAATTAACAGCCAGAGTCTCTTGCTTTGTCTTCAATTATCTACTGACTCATCATATATACTCACATTCACTCAAGGGGGACCAGCCCAATACAGCAATACAATTCCAGTGATTACAATTCCAATGCATTCTTACAATAATAGTTCTAGTAATACAAGGTATGACTTTAATTAAAAGAAAAATACATTTGTTAAAAAATTAAAAGGTATCAAATATAAAATACTGAATTCCAGGGTAAAGATGAGACAGATGAAATATAAACATGCACTGTGAAGTAGTGAGGATCAAACACTGGGGACAGTAAGTGAATTAGGTTAGATGCAGTAGGCTGATTTAGCATAAGCTTTAGACAGATATGGGAAGTTTGCTTTGGGAAATAGGTTTTAAGCAAAGGGGGAATGTGTTCACCAGGATATATTTACAGTCATGTTTTCAATGTACCTTGGCTTGGCTTGTCTATTACAGGCTTTGCTTTAAAGTGGATATTTTAGTTCTTTTGTTTTTTTTAGTGGCACGTAATTTAATTGATATGTAGATGTAGTTTGTAGGTTCCTCCTACAGAAAGCTACTTCAGCTTTCTGGCTTGCTCTGACCCTTGCCACACCCAGGCAATGAGTGTGCCAGGTCTCTGCCAATACTTAAAAGGAAAAAGAAATGCACAAAATAGGGGGTGCAAGCAAGAAGGAGCTTCTTGTTACAATTGCGTAGCTGGATGCGAACAGGATGCAATCATGGAGCTGAGCAGAGAACAGGCTCCCCAGCCCCAACCAGCAGGGAGCTCCCCATGCCAGCTCCTCAACTGTGGACCCAGCAGTGCTAGTTCCATGGTCCCAGCCCCCACTCCCTGATCATGATCTCAAAGTGTGGAGCTTGGAGCTGCCTGCTGCAGGAGCAGAGACATAGTCCCCAGCTGGGCTCCAGTGACAGAGCCCACCCTGGCAGCAGACAGGTCCCAGGGGCAGGGACCAATCTTCAGCCCCCTGGTGGCTGTCTGACTGGGAGTGGATTTGCTCCTGGTCAGGTATCTACATGAGCGCTACTGCGTAGTAACTAATCACAAGTAAATTTGCTACTTGCATTTGCATGTAACAAATTTATTTATGATTAGCAAGGTTTACTGCACAGTAAGAATGTGCACGTGTAGACGCACACACTTACTGTGCAGTAACTATGCTACTGTACAGTAAAGCATCTCATGTAGATGCACCCTCCATGTTGTTTTTTGTAAGCATGTAATATGGTTAAAGCTATGAGAGATTACATTGGCTGTTATACAGCCTGACACCTACCTGTAATTCCATATTGCAATGTAAAACTTACTCTACATCAGCTTAAATTAAGCCAAGAACAACGTTGTTCATAATATAATACTGTAATACTATATGCATTCAAGGATATCATTAATATGAGATTAAATTACCTATGTAATACCTATGTAATACACTCCTGTCATCAGAGAAGCATTAGAATTAGAATTCACATTAGAATTCTTTTTTGCTTAATATTTCACAGGGTCCAGAAACCAACTGATGTGTCTTCGAATGTGCCATCTCCTGTTACGAATGCTACCACTACCCATCAAGAGCCACCTAAAGTGCCATCTCCAGTGGTTCGGCCTGTGTCAATACCTGTTCAGTAGGTAAGGAAGACACTACTCTTCAGGGATTATTTTAATAAAGAACAAAATATTAGGAGTGCCTCTTTGGCCAAATTTTACATAAAATTCTCTTGTTTTCTGGAATTTAGAGAATTCTGGTATCTAGCAGTAGTTGCCTACACACAAGGATGCTATGACTGCCAGCTAAGTGATAACACAGAGCAAAGAATGGAAACTTTTGCTCCCAGAGTACAAGCATCTATAAGCTACTGAGCAAAAGCAGCAGCTGCACTAACTTAGCCAGCAGAGGGAATCCAAGTGTACTCCAGACATTCCTTCTAGTAAAAGGCAGTTGCACATATGAGTCAGTTCATTAAAGTCTTCACGTTGCACACTGACTTGCTCATATTCAGGAGTGACATGCATATCATAATGTAGCCTAAGAGTTCTCTTTTCCCTAAGAAAGTTCATTGAAGTACATTCCCATTTAGCTAAACTATTATGATTTGTGTTTATATATTATGTATGTGGGCATGTGTGTGTATATATATTTGTGTGTGTCTATTTAGGATAACATTTTCATATTCTTATTTAGAGTTTTTCTGATTAATTTTACCTGATATTTTTTCCCTCTTGTTGAAGGAGATCAGAATATTTGCTTTTAGATGCAAACTCTTT